CCTTTTGGGCTGACAAGTTGGATAATATACTGGACCTATAGTTTTTGGACGGCCCATACACTGTCAATAATAAAACTAGGGTTTCAGTGAACCTTTAAGAACCTTTTCTGCATCAAAAAGATTTACGTCTTAACAGTGCTCGAGAGGCTGAAGCTAGGGTTTCCCTTGTTCATACAGTAGAGCCGTACTTATCCGCATTCTACCAAGGTACGTGACCCTTCTAAACAATTGGATGCTCGTTGGAATTTTATTATTGTTTTCACACTCCATTTACAAATGGTTAGAATTTTATTGTTTTCTGGAGTCTTGTGAAACATGATGCAATGCTATGTGAATGTGTGGGTAATGTTTTAAATTTTTTTTTTGTTTTCCTAGTCATTGTTGTATTTCTACAATTAACGGTGATGATTCCTGCCATTACGGATGGATTATGAATGTTTTATACGGAAAAAATGTCTTAGATAGAATTGTTACTTTGTATTTTTCGGATTATTGAAATTTTTTGTAGATCAACTTGTGTAATCTACGACAGAATCGAAAAATTAATACTAATTATGTTGAATGTATTTATACAAATAATAATCTGCTTTACAAATGCATAACATGGTAATTTTTGGTCCAAAATAGTGTTAGGATGCAGTTTTTCATATAAAAGAAGACAAAATTTTGAAGTTATCGTTTTAGCTGAAGCTTTTGTATTTGACTGAAGTGAATGTGGCATCTATCATTAGGGAAGAACACCTTCAAGTACGAGGGGGAATTTTTGAAAGTCAGATACAAGCGCATCCCCAGTGTGGGAAATTAATTTGGTTTTATGTTTATGCTGGAATAAACTTTCAAAAATTACCTGGTGGTGTTATCTGTATAAGACATCAATTTCTGGGATTAAACCTTTGTTTCAAAATCAGATCTTTCAAGATGTTTACTGCACTGCAAAAGATTCACAAGGATAAGGATGCGGAGCCTACCGAGTTCGAGGAGACTGTTGCCCAGGTCCTCGCTCAATGGACTTTTACTGCCATTATTTAATTGCACTGGTTATTTAAACGCATCATGATTCATCGATTCTTGACCTTTCTTCAGGCTCTGTTCGACTTGGAGAATACAAACCAAGAGATTAAGAGTGAATTGAAAGACCTCTACATCAACTCTGCCACGTAGGATTGTGTCAATCTCATGTAGGTATTGTTGCTGCCTAGCATGGTATTAATATATTCATTTTATTCTCCAGGCAAATTGATGTCTCTGGAAACAAGAAGGCCGTTGTGATCCACGTTCCTTATCGGTTGAGGAAAGCTTTCCGCAAGATTCATACTAGACTGGTGAGAGAGCTTGAGAAGAAGTTCAGTGGAAAGGTAATAATACGATGTTATAATTGTCTTTATTTTCTAACACGGTAGCTTTAGCTTTTCGTTGAATCTGTGTGCAGTGGGTTTTTATATTAAAAATTTGTAATTATGTGGCTAATTTAAATGAGAATCTTGTAAAATCTTGTGTACAATTTCCATACAACAACTTTCACATAATTGAAGTGTTCTAAAATGTATTTTCTATCTGCTCACCCCAATTTGCTATAAATTGCTTACAGGAAGTTGTTCTTATTGCTACCCGAAGGATAGTGCGACCACCAAAGAAGGGTTCTGCCGTGCAGAGACCCCGCACTCGTACACTTACAGCCGTGCACGAGGCCATGCTTGAGGACATTGTTCATCCTGCTGAGATAGTTGGAAAACGTATCCGATACAGGCTTGATGGATCAAAGATAATGAAGGTACATGCTCATTTTTAACTTTTTGATGTCATGCTCATGCCACTTCTAAAATTTTATCTGCTTGTTGCAGGTTTTCTTGGATCCAAAGGCAAAGAATGACACTGAAAATAAGCTGGAGACCTTTGCTGGAGTCTACAGAAAGCTTTCAGGGAAAGATGCAGTGTTCGAGTTTCCCATAACAGAGGCCTAAGCCATTGCTTCCTGTTTTCCTGTCGACTCTTTAGTCACGGACAATTATATTTGCATTTGTATTCCTAATTTACAATTTTGATCAATAGAGATTTTGTTTAATGGTCTTTGTTCATTAGGAAACGAGAATTTGAATGGAAGGCAATTTACTTGTTGGATACTTGGTTCTTTTTTGAGTATTTTTGCTCGTACTTGGTGAAAATTTGGTTATATTGTTTTTACAAACTGCTCCTCTCTATTGACCGGAATGAAATGTGTGTTACACTTTTTCTTAGGGATGTAGCCATGTAGGCCATCCCAGGGGAGGGATGACAGCCCTAACCCTGCTAACTCAACTCTTCTGATAATTCGGCCAAGCGTTTTCTTGATCACCATCGGGTTCAGCTCGTGGGCTCGCATCACCACACGTGGGCTCAATTTTTGAATTGAAAATTACACCTTCATTCGTTGAAATATTATGAGGTAAATTTGTAGGGAATGGTAAATGTAAAAGTTTTTAGAGAAAATTACCTAAAACCTTTTTTTTCAAAATTAAGAGGATGAAGTTTACATTTCAAAATTCAGGTGGTAATTATATTTTATA